ATTCCAGCCCAATATGTGCTTATTCTAATTGTCGGATGCGTCCTCAATCCCACAGAGCGGCTTACCTTCTCCCTTAGTTAAATCTGAGGCTTGACCGGCTTGAGGAGAGTTTACTAATCCGACGCTAACATTACGGGTTCTGGAGGCATGGAGGTGTAATGGGGTATGTGCTGCCTTATGAGCTTGTATTGGTTTTTTCAGCATCCTCCAACTCTAGCTAAACATGCCGTTGAATCAAACTACCACCAACATCTCCGGGTTCCAACTAGAAATCCCCTTAAAATCCCCTTCTTTTTCTTCTCGGGTTTCCCTTCGTACCCCCCCAGCCTTGGGGTTGTGCTGCATCGCCTTGAGCAAGTTCCCCGCCATGGAGGCGAGCGTCTCAGAGATCCAACGTTCGATGGACTTCCGGCTGTTTCTATGGGAGGACCTACTTGAAGGGAAACGACAAGGAAACCGTGGCCAGATTGGAGAGGACCCCTGGATTTGGAGAAAAAAACACGGGTAGGTGCCTCAATCGTGCAAGTTGGGGTGTGGAATTGGATCTTTGGGCTCACAACAGCAGATCTGGGTCTGGGGGTAGAAAAACATCCATCAACACATGCCCAAAACGATCCCCAAGGATACCTTCAAGAACACAGCATTCCCAAAAAACATGTCCACAAGCGGTTTTGTTTGTCCATTAAATGTGCATCGACGCATCAAACTCTTCCGCGAAACCTTCCGCGAAGCTTCCGTGGTGTGAAGGGTACCTTCTGCGAGCATGTTTCTATGTACATTTGTATAAGTGCTTCCGCGGGCCTTCCGCAGGCAAGTTGCTTCTGGAAACTGAGGAAGGTAGCTTCCGCGAGGAAACTCGTGCGCAGGGTTTGCTGGTCAATGTGCTTGGCAACAACCACCCAACCGAAATCAAGCTACTGTGTGCAAACTCACAAGGTCCCTTCCGCAAACCTGCCGCGAACCTTCCACGGCTGCAGTGCGTCAACATCTGTATGTTTGCTTGAGCGGAAACAAAAACGCAACACAAGCTTATCCGAAGACATCCCAGCAAGCGCCCCAACACACCCCCAAAGCCAGCCCCAATGCCATCTCCCAAGACATCCCGAAGACGTTCCTGAACATATTGCGGAAGACATCCCCAGAAGATACGTTCAACATGGTCCAAAGATAAATCTCCAAGGTCCAAAAACATGCCCAAAAGCCATCCTCAAAGACAAAACGCAACGCCGGCCTCCAAAGACAATCCACCAGAGAAACTCCCGACCAAAATTTGTAAATTTCAAGCTCATCAAAATGAGCCGATTGCACGGCAGAACCAACAAAAATGACACTCGCGACCTCAAAACGACCACCCTGAAACGCAAACACCAATGGCACGCAAACGTGCAGCCTTCCAAAACACTGCGCTTGTGCAACGAAACATGTTGTCGCAAACGCTACGAGTTACGCACAAGCACATTAAGAAACAGCGCTTCCCAAGCCATTCGAAGCGCTGCTTGTTCCATCGTTTTCCGCGTCGCGCACTTGCCGGCACACTTTGCTGACGCTTTGCTGACGCTTTGCTGACGCATTACGGAGGCTTTATGGACGCGGGTCAAGTAACTCTTCACCCAGAGATCCCCAACCTTTAAAACGGGGGGAACCCTTTTGCTGCGCATCTGCGAACAAACACACCGGAACGACTAGACAAGGAATAACATGCGTGTTTTAGGCCGGAACCCGCATTTGTTTCCTGGAGGGCTGTATATGGAACCAGCAAACACATTGGCTTTGGGCTCCTGTGGTATAAGCCCAACTCCTGACTCCGTGCCCTCGCGCATGCCGCCCCTGGAATCCCATCGGGTTGTGTGGCTCGCTCCCAACCTGACTCGATATGCTGACCAGATGTAAAGTTGATTCTTGTCATTTAGAGCACCTGAACATGCAAACTCTTTTCAGGCACGATCCCAGGAAATTTGCGTTCCTCAAAGAGAATCACCTGGGTAGCTTGCTCGTGGTTTCCATACACTCGCAAATTCAAAATCATGTCCGGGCGGTAACAAACACCGGTCTGGAAAGAACCACTAAAAAGACAACTTGCCCATCCCCTTTAAACAGTTCCTTGACTAAGTTACAAAAAACGACTAAACAAATAACTTGCCCATCCCCTTTTGGTTTGTTTTCTTTCACTCAGTTACGAGTGCGCTAGTTTGCGCCCAAAGGAGAGGGTCCCAATTGCCTGGTGCGTTTCGGTTTCGGGCTCCCGCGCTCCCTCTGTGAGCTGTCCGGTGGGGCCCTTCTTCAGCTGCTCCAACAGCCAGGGGATCTGAACGAAGCGACAGGGTTTCCTGTGGGAAAATCCTGCAAGTGGGGGGCCGGGGGGGCGGCCAGGGGGGGGGGGGTTGTCCCAATTATTGGTACATCTCATAGGGTTTCATCCGTCCCAACTGGCGGATTTTGTCCACAGATGTCCCCCGTAATCATCACCCCACTCATCTCAAAGTGGTTTGACACTCATGGACTCTTGGAGTGAACCTATTGTCAAGTTCCCTTTTCCCAGAGGGTCCCTTGGTACCTTGCACCAAGAGACATTCTCAGGTGCTTAGCAACCTGGACTATATGTCCCCTGTGGCTAAGAGGCAACTCGTCTGTGGCCCGAAGGTACTGGATCCAGGGATTGCGGGAGTCTTTCCATGCGAAATCATTCCAAACAACTTGTTCTGAGGGACCCTCTGGGAGAGGGAAGGTACTTGATACCTTGGTCCCTTGGTACCTTAATCATTCCATGCGAGATCATTGCAAATGGGAGATTCTCTAGAAGTGGGATTTTCCCCCTCCCTTGGGTCTGAACAGAACCCGCGAACAAATGAAGACGCAGAACGCCTTTGAACAGCTTGCACCTAATGCCATACTCATTCCCCTGCCTGTATGATACAAAAGGGCTACTGGCTCCCTGGTGGTTTGCAAAAATCACTTCGCTCAAAGCGCTTCTGTTTCACTGGCTAAATGACTTTTGGTTCGGCTTTGTCTCGAACGTTTAGATATTGCTCAAGCTAGACAACAATTAATCAATACCACTTCTTCCTCGGACAAAGATATTCTAGATCGGATTGCTACTAGTCAACAGCGCATAGCAGATATTGATACTCAATTAAACAGAAGCATCGTTGAAAATAGCAAACACCTTCAAGAGAATAATGCTCAGATTAGTAAGAGATGAAATCGGGCGTCTCCTTTGCTTGTTTTTTGATTGGAAGGAGTCGACCTCAAAAAGACCTTCTTGAGGTCCCAAGATTGGGGTGGAAAACATCAACGACCCTTTGCTCGAAGGGACACCTGTCTGGGTCCACGCTCGCGCGCTCGTGGATTTCTTCGGCGCCCACGCGCGGTCTAACCCAGTTGGATGCACTTTTGCATCAGAGCTACTACCGACATGCGCCAGTTTTGCAGCTGAACACCCAGCCAAACAGCACTGATTCAGTGCTAACTCGCAAGGGGAGCCATTGCACCCTGACTAGAAACCATCGGGATAGGCGTTGATCTTTTTATGCTTGTGGCTCTGAATCAGTGGCAAGACCACAAGCAGTAGTTAGTTGGAGAAACCTCTCAAATGGCCCCTAAACCCTAAACCCTTGTCATGGGAAATCTGTGATTCTGCCGCAAGGGAGAATATGTGCACTTGACAATAATGTGAGTCCCTCGTTTTGACATTGGATTCATGGCACGTGAGCTCTGTTTATTTGGTGAGCGGATTCGATCCCCATGTCATGCACCTTAAGCATGAGCCTTGAAGCGGTGGTTTCATCGGCATTGGTCTCCCTCCAAAGCAATCCCAGAAACCTCCAAAGAACACCGATTCATGTCTCGGCCCAAGTCTGGTGTACTCTACAAATATAATATGTTCCGATTCTTGTTCATATTTCGTCTGAAATATCAAGCGTTTAGACACCAGATGCTTGGAGCCGAAGGGCTCCTTCAAGATTACGCCGAAAGACCGGGTAGGTCTTTCGGTGGATGCCCAGAAGATGGCAAGAAAGGGAAGAAGATAAATTTCGGTCTTTCGGGAATTTTACCATGGTTGAACATGCTTTTTGTTTACTTGCAATATCTAGGATATCCCCTGAGTTGGGTGAAAGTAGATGGCGCTCTGACGCTATGTCCTTCAGAAAGTAAAAAAGATGCCTAAATGGGGTGGTCGTGCCTTCTACATTCACCCAACTGTCCCCAAACCCTTTGAACCAGCTTGTATGTGGGTGGTTTCTAACTTGGCCAATATCCTTTAAGGACACTTCATTGACAGCCAGAAAGGCTTGATATTGTCAAAGGCTGATGCGTCCATGTGTGAAGCACGTGGCCGCTTTGGACACAATTCAGGGGTGGTTGCCAATGTTTAAGCAGCATATGAACGGTTGTCTGGCCAATGGACAAGGGGTATATGAAGTCACACATTCAGCCTTGGATATTGGCTTGCTCGTGAAGATTCCCCACCAGTGCGTCAAAGCGAGGAGCTCCTCTTCATGATTGCGGAAACTATACCATTCTGTGATACCAAGATCGGCCATCCCCATGAGTACTTCATTGCTGTCTTTAAGGAGAAACAATCGAGGGATCACGCAATGTAGCTGTCTCAACCTAGCTTCCAACAACCGTGCTCGTGCTCCCTTTTTTGAAAATCCCCTTTGGACTTCTTCCCGTTTGCACATGAGACCACTTGGAGAGGTCCTCGGTTTTTTGACTCCGAAAAATTGATGCGCGAGCGCCTCCCCCACCTTCTGACCTAAGGGTCTCGATGGACTTGGGGGCCCCATTCGTGCACGGGCGGCTTCAGAAGAGGTCCGTGCAGGGGGAGAGATGACACATTTACTGGCCGGAAAGTAAACATGACTAAACCAAAATAAGGTTGGACTTCCATCTATTTTCAGCCAAGCCCCAGGACCCTTAGAGAAGGCCGGGGAATGGGGTGAGAAAAAAAACATATCCATCCAATGACCACACGTCAAGCGTCGGTCATGAAGCTCGCGTCAGCCTGTCAGGTGCTCCTTTTGGCCCCAGAAATCCAACCAACCACCCTGGCCGACTGCTTTGGCTATAAGTATGAATATTGCTGTTCTCTGGATTCACAATCCTTTCTGAAAGTGTTGCTAAAATTCCAAAAGCTGAATTAAGGAATCCCCAAGCAAAGGACCTTTCTCATGGTGGGCTCGCCATACCCCCAGGTGAGCGGCAGATCCTACTCATAAGCAACGGTGGTCAAGTACCTCGTGATTCACCAAAAGAGCCCAGGAGTTGGGCGACCGAGCTCGTCCCCGCGCCGCTGACCATGAACAGCCCCTGGTCCACTTCTCCCCCAACAAGGGATGGATTAACTCGTTTGCCCAAACTTGGACATCATGTGGACGCGAAAAGACACGAGTCGCACCTTTCGCTGGGATGGCTGACACCTGATTCTTATGGGCTCAAAGCCACCTAAGGCAAGGTCCCTTCAGAATCCTCAAGGCCCAAGGGCAAATGGCAGGGCACTTTGCTTTGGTCCAAAGGCTTTGGTTGCAAAATGCAGCGGAACTCTCCCCCATTAAGTGGAGAAAAGGACACCGAAGGTCGAAACCGGCCAGTTTTTCCCGGTCGAAACCAAAAACAAGCTGCGCCTGTTCGTCTAGTCGGTGAGTGAAAGTTGGTTTTTGGCCGAAGGAAGCCGTAGATTCGATCCAAAGCATGATGTTTTTTTGAGGAACGGCTCGCTTGCTGTTGCGAAGGGCAGTTTGGAGCGCAGGCTTTCCATCCCGCGCCACTTGATTGGTTTATTGTTTATTTGAGCTCCCTCGTACTCGCTTTCAGGCTTGCACAAGTTACTTGTTCTGGGTAGATGAAGAAGCTCCATTTTACGTGTTCCCAATCCGGGTTCTAGACAGGGAGTCTGCAAAAAACCCGACCCACCCCCTTTGGATGTCGGAAGATCATATTGAAATCTATAGTTGTTCGCAAACTAGGAATCGGGACATGGCAACAGTTTCCTTTTGGCTTCCCTTTAAAACCATACAAAATGGTGGGCCCTTCACCACGTTGAGGATCTCATGGGTGCGTCTCCAAATACGGGACACGACCCCCCGTCAAAAACATATGAAAGAGCACCTTGACCCTCGAATGATACAATAATTTGCCGACTTTGCTTCTCAGGCGGTTCGTAATACTAGGTGAGCCAGTCGCTTCTGGGCATAACTTGTCGTTCTGTCCAGTAAACAGGCGTTTGCGTCGCGAGAAGTGTCACTGCTGATGATGCCAATGTGCATGGATGATTATGTTCGCGCTCAGAAAGCTCCGCAACAACACACAAACACAAGTTTTGCGGATTCGCCGGCGTTTGCGGGTGTTTGCTGCCGTTTTGCTGGGGTTTTGCCGGCGTTTCGCGGGCGAAATCAGGCGAGGACTCTTGGAAGCAGAACCACGTGGCTTTGTATAGCAGGCGACATGCAGCTGCTTTACTTCAACGCAATCCCAAGCGGTTCTTGCGTTCATTCAGACACGTGAAATGCAGTTTGAGGGTCCAGGCATCCAAGTATATGGTTTTCCTGTTAGGTTTCCTGTTGAAACAGCCAAAGGACTTGGTTGCTGTTGAACCCCCCTGCAAAAAGTTTAACTTTTTGGGGGGTTTAGTGGAATCCCCCTTGATTTCCCAAACAGTTAAAGTCTAAAGATCCAACCCAATAGCAGCCAAGGGATTCGAACAATCTACCCATGCCGCCTATCTCCTCAAGGAGCTTCACCAAGGACGCATGGCCTCGGGCCCCGAGTTTTCTCTCGGAGGTGGCTGGCGCCATTCAAAAGGAGTCGCCTGGAAAATGAGAGTCTATTTCCAGTAGTGACAAACTATCTTTAACACCAACAAGGGCAAATATATCACACATCCTATCACGTTCTTTAGCAACTGGCCGTAAGTGCCGGCGTATTCGTTGTCGGGTGCCCTTTTTGGGTTGGTTCAAAGGGAACCCAACAATCGTGGGGGGGATGCCTATTTTGACACATACACACAACTTCAGAAAGAGTAAAACGGGTAAAGATCCAACCAAAACACTGGTTGGACACCATGTTGGTTTTTTCCTTGTATGAGGAAACAAAAGAAGAACATAAGAAAAACGGCAACCACGCAGTCGGCAGAGATTCGCATTACAAGTACCACCGTTTTGTTTTTTTTTTGGGGGGGGGTTTTCTGGCTTGAACTGGGTCTCATATCAATCCGAAATAGTTGCCGAAAGATAGTATCCCCAAAAAGGATCATGGATCATATTTGCCTTTTGCCCAAACTCACCGAACATCTCCTCCGCGAGTTCCCTCGAACCCGAGAAGGCAGCACTTCTTGAACGACGTGGGCAGTTTGTTGGATGCGTGGTCATGGTCCCTTTGGGAATCCTTGCAGTTGTCCAAAATCCCCCGCAAAGATGGGTCAAGTAACTTCTCGTTACGACTCATTGGGGTTTCACCAGCCAAAGGGGCGATTTCAGGAGTGCACGTTGCCCATGGTTTGTCTTCTCAACATGTGAGATGCCCCAACTGCGGAGTCCACCAATTATTGCACTCGCTTAGCACTCTTTGAGACTTCTCTTGGAAGGAATACGTAGGTGGGTGGATTCTGCAAATCAATCCCTAGCCAGTTCTTCTAAGACGATGGTCAACTATGTCATGATAGAATATCATAGAAGGACGTTGTTGAACCCAATCGTCGGTATTTAGTCGGTACAGTACAGGCGGAGCTTACTCGTTGAGGGTGTTCCTATATAGTAGATATCTGTGGGTTCGGCTTTGCCAAAAGGTGTGCGCTGTTGAGGGTGCTCTGTTCTAGTTTACTTTTTGTTCATTCATATCTTTGTACCTTCTTTTTTCTGAGAGCCAAAAGGAACACCAAAATCCATGTTGCGTCCTGGTTCCAGAATTTTGACGAGCCATGCTCAAGATGTACAGTGCAGCTAGGACAAGCCTAGGTTGAAGGAATTGCAGCCAGTAGCAGTCGTCAAAGAGGGAATCCCTGGAGGGGCGGCCCTAGCGCACGCCCAAACCTGAGCTTGCTAAACCAAACTCTGTGTATGAGTGCCCAAAACCGGAGCTGTGTTTTGGTTCTATGATGGTTATGTGCTCTAGCTTCAATGACCCGAGGGTTAGCTAAATGGCTAGCAACCCTAGTTTCAATATTGACAGGCTACTAACCACTTAGCTAACTTCCATACCGATCAGTGACACGCCGGGGTTCAGATTCTCACTTCCTGAGTGGGTTGGCCTACACAAAGTGACTCAAGTCGAACTCAGGGAATGGGAAAGACCAACTCATCCTTGTTGCCTGGGCCGTCAGATCCCCTGCCAAAAGCTGAACTTTCAGTGGGGGAACAAATGGAAACCCAACCACGAAGCCAAGTAAAGGACGTAAAACCTAAGGAACCGGATGGCTGGGAACCACCAAGTTTCATGAAACCCCTGAATTTGGATTTGAACAAAAAACTGCTGGAACTCCACCAAGTATATGGATCTCCTGAATTTGGAGAACATATTTTGTTTCTGGAACTCGAGTGATGCGATCATCGACTCGAGTTCGGATCGCCTTGCTCTTGTGCCAGCTGCAAAGGCGTCCGGCTCTGCTCGCCCCATGCAGCCTTGGGATTCGCCTGTGGCTGGTCAAATGATTCAGGGGAGCAATACTAAAGCAGCAAAAGTCCGCCAAGATCTTGTTTGAGGTTGGTCATTGCTTTGGAATTCTGGTTACAAGAAGCGTCCGATGCTTGGTATCTCTTAGGTCGCCAACCGGGGGTTAACTGGTTTCGGGCTTGTCTCGCACTGGACGGGTCTGCTCAACTTTTAGGATTGGGTCGCTGCTGCTTTGCCTGCCGACACTTTGGGGGGCGAACGATGGCGCCTCTTGCTGTTGATTGAAGCTCGATACCCTGGGATTGATAGAGAAGGACGGCTGCCTGACCCGAAAGAACTAGCCTCAAAGGGGAAATCACTCTGAATCTCCATCTCTCTGAATATGTTGGCTACACTCGATCATCAGGACTGCTTTGTTTGCAAGCAAGCAGTAAAACTCGGGTTGGATAATTAAGGCAGAGTCAGGCTGCAAAAGACCTAAGGCTGAATCAACACGCGAAGAAATCAGTCAAGATACCTTGCAAATACTCATGATAATGCAGATTCGGTCACATACCCTTTGTCCAATAATCATGCGAGTGGACAGATGGGTTTGGAAAAGTGTCATTATCTTAAAAAGGACCCAAACGTCCACCTCCCACGAATGTTGGAAAGAGAACAACGTGGCCTGGATTTGGAATGCACAGAAAATGGTATGTTCAGATTATGCCTTCCTCTTCAGCCTACCCCACAACATGACTCCAGGTAGTGTCAAACCAAAAGGCGTGTACTCGGTGTATAGGCGGCCAAGTAATATGCCAAATAGAAACCAGAAAACAAAAGGGTCTGTCTTAGAGTAGAGAACCCCCTCAAAATGGCTAATGTCCATGTTGGTTTCCGTTCAAACCACTCCAAAAGAGGAATCCTTCTTCCAACAGTCATGGACCTGTCAGCTTCCAAAACCCTACCAACTTCCATGTTGGATAGAGGGAATCCTCACAAAACATCACATGGCAGTGGGTCAAAATCACATGGCAGTGGGTCAAACATAGGTTATATAACCCAAATTTGTTTGCTCTGGTAAATGGGCACATGGACTAAGACCCAGCAGTTCATATCCTGGTTGAAGAGTTTGACCCATACCCATATGGTCAAGAACCAGGGCTTCAAATCCAAATCCAAACCAGCAATCAGCAAATTTTGCTATATATCCAAAAGCAATTCGATCCCCGCTCGTTTGTACCCCCAGATCGTTGAGCTCGCCAAAAACAAAAAATGACAGACCAAGCAGCAGATCAGATCCAAATTGGTTGGGTCTCAGGTCGACTCCAGGCCTTGTACTGCACGAGCATCTGGGCGATCTCTAATGCGCCGTTTAAGGCCTGAAGCGACAGGGGGTTCGGATGGCGCGCCGTTTCGAGTTATTCGTTTTGGGGGGTGGGTTCAAGGGGACACCCCAGGAAAACCAGCTCCCCGGACCCTCAAACTACCCATACAAATGGGGTGTTGGGCTGATTTCCATTTTTGAAGATCCAGGTCCTTCTGTTGTTGCTTTGTTGTCTGTGATATTATTATTATCTTCTTTTTTTTGGGGGGGTCCCTACTTTGTCAGGTATCCCTAGTTATTCTCGCTTCCTGAGATGACGTGACCTGAGTCGCACGGGGTCGGATCACCCCTTTGAATCGAGGTATCAGGTATCCCCAAGAACGGAGAGTGGATTCACCGGTATCCTCAGGATATTTGCTTGCGTTTCTCCCAGGACTTAAACGCAGGAATTGGTCCTCAAGAAAAAACACGACTGGGCTTGCGACTATGGGGGCTGCTATTTAAAAAAAAAAAAAACACACAGCGGAACCAGGGGTAACATAAAATTGCGTAGACCTGACCCTTCATTCCTGGAAACTTGAAAACCTGATTATGGTCTAAGAAACAAGCAGGGAACTTGTGCGGGAAACCAAAACAAGAAAAGCTACATGGTTTTGAGGTGGGTAATTGCTTGACTTCTCGAATTTCCGGTCGTCGGTTTCTATGACACTGGGGAGGTTTCTTTCGGGTGTGTTTCCCTTCGTCGACGTCCGTGTCCCCAACCCAAACTGCCTGACTCGAAGGAAAACCAAAAAGGCAAAACGTCATTGAAAAACAAAGTCATGAAAAGGGCACCTGAGGTCTGGGCTTGGGAGAAACCCAAAGTTTAAAACAACATCTAAATGACCTATTTGGAGAGGATATACATGTGAGTAAATACTCCATGAGGCGGTTGGGCTAACAATCTTAAGCAAACCTCATGTGGGTCTGTCAAAGAGCGCCTCGTGGACAATCGTTTTCTGGAGTCCCAAAGAAAGCCAACTAGTGTTGTCCGATTCCTGTATTGAGACACACCCATGTTGGTTTCTCTTCCTTTGATGGTACCTTTTTTTGGTGGCTTTAAAGAGAGACCAGAAGGAGAACCCTTTTTCTTTGGGGGGGGCCTTTCTTTGGTGGTCTTACAAAGAAACCAACAGGAGAACTGCCGATTGCCGTTTTGGGCGGGGGAGCTCCCTTCAAAAAGCACGAGCCGCAACAAGTGCCAACCCGAGCGAGCTGCTGCGAAGTGGAGCGGGGTGCCGCCGTTGCCGAGCGCCAGGTTGATCTCCGCGAGGCTGGCCGAGTTTTCCCGGACCTTCTTCATCCTGCGGAGAGAACGGGATTGGGGGGAGCATAGTGTGCTGGTGCGATGCCTGGGGAATCCCCGCGTGTTGGGAATGAACCGTTTGGGGATTCCCTCAAAGGAAACCATACGGGGTGGTTTACAGGGGTCGGTCCCTCATTCTCGGCAGAGAACCAGCAAAGACAGATGACCTTTTGGAAACATCGATGTGTCTGGTAAATGAGCACAACGCAATCTAAACCAGTGGAACCCATCGATTTCTATCCAAACCAACCGATCAAAAGGACACCCATGCGGGGGACATGAACAACATGGATACGGGAAATGTAGGGAATAGGAAAGCATGCAGGGAAAAATGGAATGGAATCGGGATGAAGCATGGAGACAAATCGAAAAACTGAGAATTCATAGAAACATATAGAGGCAAGAAAAAACACACACACACACATCTCAATAGACAAAGATGGAGCAACATGCAGGACACCTGTTGGGAAACAAACACATGTGAGGAACATCAGGGAAGAATCGGGAAACATATGATAAGACACGCGAAAATATGGAAACATAAAGAATGAACATAGAAGCAAATGCGGAAACAATCCAAGCAAGACAAACAGTTGAAGACATGAACTTCTAATGGTTTACTGCAACAAACCACTGAGCTTGGTGCGGAAGTACGCCACAGCCTGCCACAACCAGCTGGATTCTCAGACTATCCTCAAAAGGGAAATCGCTCCAAGGTCCGAGGTGCTTTGAGCCCCTGGGCCATCCCTGACCGCTTGGTTGTTGTTCCCAGCAACCCTGTCTAGGTTACCACCTCATGTGTCGCAAAACCATTCGGCGTATGGAAGAACTTGGGCAAACAGGCTCTGGTGAAGATGCCAAGTTGTTTTTCCTGGCAGAGCAGAATTACAACCCCAGTAAACCGAAGCCAGGCGTACCTGGACCCTCAAACTACCCAAAAAAACATGGACATCACGCCATTGCTTTTGGCAGTCACCCATTCTTATGGATTGTATGGGTAGTCTGAGGGTCCAGGAACTTTGGACATCACCCATGTTTCGTTGGCAATCACCCAGCTTTCTGGGAATCTCACCAGTTCTTTCGGGTCCAGCTTGTTCATTTCTCCAGGTGCAAGCGAACGAGCCAACGCGATCCGATGCCAGTCGCTGCTCGGTTGGCTGGGCTTCCCGGCCACGTCTTGGACAGGTCCACGCCGGAGCCGACGGGCTGTCCCGAGAAGTTGGGGTCCGCGCGCGCCTGGGGAGCACCAAAGGGGGGGGAGTGCGGAAGGGTCTGGGCCGGGATTCCGGTTCGGGGGTGGTTGTTTTGTTCTGGTGGGTTCTTTCAACAAGGCTCCCTATATTTCCTCTTAAACCATCACCCCCAGGGACACTCACCTTGGGAACACAGGGACCCCTGTTCAAGGACCAGGTGGTTTATAATCCACATTGGGAAAATGCTGGGCTCCTGGCCAGCACATTGCCCAGCAAAACTCGGCCAGCTCAAAGCAATGCTTTTCAGTTCGCCCTTGGCCTGGTGGAAACTCTCGCAGATTATAGCCTGCTGCCAGTGTGAGGTTGGACACCCTTGGGTTCCTAGTGTCTCGTGCTTTTCCAAGAAAGCTGAAACTCACACCCTGAGTGGATTGCGCAACAAGAAGCGAAACATGGGGTGTTTGCCACAAAGCTGGCTTTCCCACGTATCAAGTCCAGGAAATCAGGAAGTGCATAAAAAAAGGAAAGCAAAGAACTGCCAGTCTAAGGTCCAGTTGCCTCTTATCGGCGATTTGTACATAACCCTCTCATGCTCGTGCATACCATTAATTGGGTAAATGACTTGGTGTTACCCTCTCCGAGCGGTGCCAAAGCTTCTTTCCGCTCAATCGCCCTCGCACGAGAACAATGCGAAGGGGCGCGGGTTGATGGGAAGCCAGCGCTGTGGCCGACCTGCCTGCTCGACATCGTAAACCCACTCGGTGCTAAACATGGAGCCTATCCAGCCCCTGGAATGGGCGCGTAGGAATCAAAGAGTCTCCTAGGAGAAGCAACTGTTCCACTTTACAATCAAAAACCCCTGGTGACTGTAGACCAGGGATCCTGAAAATGTATTCCAACCTTTACAAGCGAGATTGAAAGCCATGCAAAGACTCCTGGACCAGGCAGTCTGATTCAGCCGACTTGCACACTTGTTCCCCACGAAAGGGAACCTGCCTGTAGACCCCCTGTTGGGTGAGGTCGCGATTTCAGCCATGCGACTTTTGCAGTTGAAGAGTACCTTCTGGAGGCAACTCCCAACCCGAGTTAAAACCACCTGCTTTGCAGGTTCCAGATCAAGCCCCCTTTATGGCGGAGTAGGTGCCAAACACGAAGAAGAAGACGCCGAGTGACAGCAATGCCAGGCTGAAGAGGATCTCTGGCGCCCGCCAGGAGAAGGTTTGACCCTTCCTGCGGAGGGCCAGGATCCACAGTGGGGGCACAACGTAGGAGATGTATGCAGAGGCAAAGGCTCCGATGAAGTCCAGGATGGTGCGCAGGGAGGTGACCACCACTGCGATCAAGATGGCGACCGCCACAGCCCCTAAAGCGCAGGCGATATCCAGCCATCGCGCCAGTGACCGGCCGCCGCATCCGTCGCTCACCTCCTCCTCCTCCTCCGCTGCTTTGGCCGGAAGCCCGCGGAGCTTGCGCACCGCATAAGCGGAGAATTGGCGGATGGGGTACACGTGGAACTGGAAGCAGGTGAGGACGCTGAACATCACTGCAAAGAGCGACACCACCACGTGCCACTCCTTGCGTGCCGGCATCAGATCCAGGATCAGCGTGTCCTTCTGATTGTCGGCCACGCCAAATGCCAGCACGCCGAAGATGGACACGCTCCCGTAGAGCAGGAAGCATAGGCTGGTGCTCAAGAGAGCGACCTTGGTCATGTTGCGCACAGAGGGAACTGGTGTCAATTCCCCAGTGAGCTGCGGGACGTTGAACTGGTTGTTGTAGGCGAAGACCATGTTATTGATGGAGTTCATGTAGGTGAACACCGTGGCGCCCGAGCTGGGAAGCAGGAAGCTCTCCACGTCCAGGGACTCGTCGATGCCGTGCTCGCCCCAGTACCACACCACCGAGCCCACCAGCAGCAGCAGAGCCCCCACGCTGATGGCCGCCAGGTGCCGCATGAATCCCACGTGACGGGCCAAAGCCAAAGGGCCACACACGAAGACGCCCACTAGCACCACGAAGAGCTTCCGAGCCTGGTCATCCGCCTGGAAGACCACCTGAAACACTTGCCCACACACGATGAGGTATCCAGCAGCGGAGCCCAGGCAGTTGCACACGTTGATGAAGCCAGTGAAAATCGACATGGACGGGTGAAAGAGCTCGTCGCAAATGTCCTCATAGCTCCAGCAGCCCGTCTCCACGCTGGCGTTCGCGATCATGCGGATGCTGGCCAAAGTGAGTAGCCCGCCCAGGATGAGGCAAGTGAACTGATACACAGCGCCCACTTCCGCCCCATGCGCCGCCACCGACAGCACCCCGGCGCCGATGGCCGCCTTGCTGAGGCAAATCGCGGTGGGCAGAATGCCACCCCGCCGGAACTTGCTCACACTCGCCGAACCCACACTGAGGCTCCCTTTGCTGCTCCCTCCGCTAGCAGTGCTGTCCTGGCTGCACACCTCCACATCCTTTTGCTTCATCTCCATCTCTGCGTTTCGGCTCGCCTTCGGTTTTGGGGGATGAGTGTGCGGTCGGCTTGAGCCGTAAGGGCTGCACACAATGTAAAGCGGTTGATAACCAAGGAACTGGTAACAAGAGTCGGAGGATTGATCCCCGTTCTCTGCACCCATCGTTCTCTGTAATTACAAGCCACCCATTTTGCGCCAGGAACTTGCCTTTGCGAATAGAGGATCCCCAGAGAATGGAAAAGCAAGCTTTTTTCGGCCAAGTGCCCTTAGATTCCCGGCTTCGGATTCACTGACGCGCAGTGCGACAAACCTGGGCACCTTCAGCAGGTACTCGATGTGCCCGGGATCGGTGCCGTACTGGGGGCTGAAGCACAGTACCTCCAGGCGCTATGCGGTGTGCGAGGTTTTCTTGGGTTGTCTCCAGACAAAGCCCCAGAAAAGGCGCTGTTAAACTGTTCCTTTGGATGCCCTTCAAAACAACACAAACAAGGGTACCCTCAAAAAAACAAATACATATATATATATATATATGTACACGTATATATATATATATACACATATAAGCCAGCCATGGTTAAAACACGTGGCTACACTTGATGGACAAAAAGAGACAAAGGGCTCGTCTTCCCCTTGCATTTTGTGGGAAACTTCGCGAGTCCCCCGTCCCTCTCCAGAATTGAACTCGGGTACGACCTCCCGCTCAAAAGGCTCAACGCTTTTTGGGGGGATGCTCAGAGCCCGCGTCACGGACGTGGCCTGCAGCTAGCACCTCTTTCAGAGAGCGCAAATCCTTGCCCAGGTATCGGGGGACCCAACAGGACTCCCCTGGAACTCGAGCCCAGAAACTGAAACCTTCTTGGCCTACCCAGCTTGCTGGGGCTACAGGCCAGGGATCCAGGCGAACCAAGGACGTGCTTCCCCAAGGCGGCAATGGCATGCTGAAAAAGGGACCTTGGGGATCTCGGATTTTCCCTCCGTTGCGCTTTCCCACTAACAATGCCCCTCCAAGTCTCCAAAATAACAGCATGCTACCGCCATCGAACCACTGGTTTTCCTGGTTGGAATTGTGGGCCCGTTTTGCCCCCGCCCCCATCTTTCGCAACCTAACAGCAAACCAGGGTATGCCTGCAATTTTGGGAGTAGTGCCAAATTTCAGTGAATTAATGACCCTCATAATTACCTAGAAAGCTCCGCCACTGCTTCTCAGGCACAAAGCTACCTGGCACCCCTGCCAACCTAGAATCCGTTCTGGTGGGCAGGGGGGCCCCTAATAATTACTGAGCCCTTGATTACAGTTGCCTCCAAATGTGACCCCCTCCCCCCCCCGAAAAGAAAAAAAGTGTCTTCGAACATTGCCACGCTGCTGACAAGCTGCCGGGCAGCCAATGTTAGTGGCGACGTTGGGATCGGAATGCATTTGCAAAAGCGTCCTGGCAATATGTCTCCAAACAGAAACACACCAAATTGGCGGCTCCGTCGGTTGGGGAACACAACCCGAAGGTCCCAAAGAAGGCACGTGCAATTCACAAAAAATGAGTGGTTCTCAACAGGCACTCACAGGAACAGACACAAACACAGACACACTCTGCAACAATCTTCAACGAGTCGGTAGGAGAGCAGTCGTTTGCAGCAGGTTCAAGGGATATGTTCGGTACACCAAAGAACGACACGGAATATCTCTTGTTGTTGGTTAGCGGGAAACCCACAGAAACATGGGTGCTATACGGGGGGAGGGGTTCTGGAAAAACCATTCAAATACCCGTACCGCAAACCCTTTGTTGGTTTCCTTTGTAAATAAACGTACTCATAGAGGGCTATGATTTACCCTGTTCCACCAAACTGTGCGAAGAATGACGCTCGGACCAAAGAGCCGATATGTTGGTCCTGTTTCTAGGCCAGTTCGGAAAACCAATCTACTGTAGTGAACCCCGGATAGCAGAAAGAAAGTCACCTCAGTAGGATTCAGGCAAAGCCTTTTCTTGGAATGCGAGACACAATACCAAAAGGGCCAAGTCAAATTTAAATAAACAAATGTTCCCCAAGCAGTTGTCCAGCTTCACACTTGAGTAGTCTTTCTTAGACATTGCCTCACTCTGCGCATCGCAACCCCCTCTGGCTACACAAATGTAGCGTGCAACGTCAAAAGCAACCAGTTTCAACTACAGGTCCTCAACCATTTGCAGGAGAAATAGACGAGCTGGAACCCTATGAATCCAGCAATTTCTCGTTTTCCGCCGATTTTACTGGCGCTCTCGCGGTTGTTCGCGGTTGTTCGTGGTTGTTCGCGCCTGAGTCAGGGGGACAACGGAAGTTTGGCGCGCTCCTTCTTGTTACAAGGCCCAACCTTACTTTCAACCTCCATCTGCACAAACCATGCCCAAACACCTAGAACTAAGGTCCCTCCCCGCAACGGGCCTTCATTGGTTTGCTTGTTTTTAGCTTCGGTGTGCTTCGCTGCAATTTGCCCATGGCACGTTTTCACGTTTGCCCCGTTTCCCAGCCAAGCCCCGGGTTAGACCTCCTGCGTCCAAACCTCCAAATGATCAACCCCCTGCTCCAGTTTTGAGTCCCCCTACTCAGCCCAAAAATCCTGGACATAAAAGGTTAACCTTTTGGGGTCATGACACAAAAAGGACCAAAACGAGAAAACCAAAAGGTGAACAGGTCGATTCGCTTCCAAAGAATTGAAAGTTTGAAGTCGACATGGCCGTATATTTCAATGAGGAATCCAATTCTTGGATCTTTGAAGAGGTTCATGTCCACCAACGGCCGCAATTGGTTCTAACTCTTACCCTTTCCACTCACATAGCAGTTGTGGGACGTGGAAATTCAACTTCTTAAAGCCTCTGCCAGGTGCCAGGGCAACATGGGAGGGAGGGTAACCCTCGGCGCACGCGCGCAACTCACTTCCTGAGTGGATTGGTCCAAAAAGAGTCCAGACTTTTTATTCACCACTAAAATGGAACAAACCCGAAAAACTAGGGGCTGATTTCCCATTCTTTTCAATCATCGTTCTTTCCAGAAATCGGCCATTCTCCCTGGCTTTCCGGAGATTCTCTAAAAAGAAGGACCCCTGGAAAGAATGGGAAAGGTACCTTTGGAAAGAGTTCAAAGTCCAGAAACCCGGGGGATGAGGTACTCCGCAAACCAGCGGCGCCTGGTGACCTGGGGATTCTCCGAGATGGAGGCCACGTGTAGCGCCCGGCCCCCGAAGAAGTTCTGGCGCAGCAGGTCCGAGGGCCCTGACGGGGGGTGGCTGGTGTCTTTTTTGAGCTGGCCATGGGTCAAAATCCCGGTTAGCACCCAGTGAACATCCCAATCCCCACTAAAACAGGTTCTAAAATGGGTGGTGCACCTAAAAATGGTATTGGATTTGACCCACAGCCAGTTGGCTCCAGCTTCAGGTGTGGTTTCAAGGGACATCAAAAAAAAGGAGCCGTGTCTGGGGAGCACTACAAAAACAGACACGCACGAACGCACGCGCACGCACGCACGCACGCACGCATCACACACACACACACACCCGTTTGAGTATCATTTGGGGACGAACGCTGTACTTGGTCGATTCTGTTTGGTTTTACAATTGATTTCACCAGTAAACCCCTTGGAGGTTCACCATCGCATGTTTATAACCAATAACCAAATTCAGCGGCCAAGGAAGCGCTCAGCGGCACAGGGTTCGGGAAAAGGAGATCCCTTTCAGCAAGACTCATCTGAATGGATTGCCAAACAAAGAAAAACGCAAACAAACTTCTGGTTTAGCACTCACATGGTCTTTCCAAAAAGTAGAAAGTCCAGAAAGTTGGGAAGTGGGAAGACTTCGGCTGCCCCTGGTAACATCCTGTCTCTGAACAACTCTATGGGGTTTCCTTGTGACTGTCCTTCAGAAACTCATGAGGCTCAACCCACCCAATGCTAGGACATAAATGCGCTTCTCTAGCCAAAGACCTGCATGCTCGCGTTACTACGGCTACACAGACCTGGTTACATATACACCCTCTCCAGCACCACGGGTTTTGATTTGAAATGGAGTGTGGTCATTCAATCCCCTTCTTCGCCGCGTCTGTTTTGCTATGAAACATACCCCCCTAAGCCAGCGCGCCTCGGAAACAACCCTTAAATATGGGTGCTAACATGCGCATGTCCATTTGGGGAAAGTGGGACCTTAAATTTGATTCACCCAGTAAACCCCATTGGAGCGGAGGTTTACAATTAATGCCATGTCCAACCCAGCAAACCCCGCCATCCCACTCGGCGGCTGAAGTTCCCTCACAGACTCGACTAAGGAAAGGAATCGGTACACCCAGGGAACTCTAAGGAACCCACATGCTTGAGGTGTTGCGCTGTGTGATACCGCCAACACGCAAACACGCAAAGAACCTACACACATATCAATACAAGCAAACAAACACACACAAATATATAAACAAACAAACAAACAAACAAACGAACAAACAAACAAACACACACACACACAAACAAACAAACATATGCCAAACACACACACACACACACAGACACACACAAAGGCAGAAACGCACAAACACACAAGGAGCCACACGCACACACACACACACACAATCGTGCAAACAAACAAACAATCAAACAAGCAAACCTCCAAGCCACCAAACAACTAACCAACAAACCAACCAACCAACCAACCAACCAACCAAACAAACAAACAAACAAACAAACACAACCACACATATAAACAGTCAAACAAACAAACAAACAAACAAACAAACAAACAAGCAAGCAAGCAAACAAACAGAACAACACAAACAAACAAACAAACAAACAAACAGACAGACAGACAGACAGACAGACAGACAGACAAACAAACAAACAAACAAACAAACAGACAGACAGACAGACAGACAAACAAACAAACAAACAAAATAAACACACACACACACACAACCAGCCAGCCAGCCAGCCAAGCGACCGACCGACCGACCAACCAACCAACCAACCAACCAACCCAGAAACAAACAAAAAACATAAACAAACAGACAGACAGACAAACAAAAAACAATCAAACGAACAAACAAACATACAAACAAACAAACAACACAAGCACACAAACAAGCACACAAGCACAAGCAGCGCACAGCCACACACACACACATGCTCGCGTGCATATTCGACAAACCTGGGATGTTCAACATGAAGGGGGCCACTACAACGAGGCAAATCCTGAGGATAAGGGCTGACACAACCCAGCTACAACGCTTTTTGTCAGTGCTCTCGATGTTCTTTGTACTAGGCACCCCCTTGATGTACTTGGTTACCCAGGATAGCTGGAAGCAAATTGTTGGAACACCTTTTGTGCTTTGTTGCGTCAAGAAACCAACAGTCGACTACCAATATTACGTGCTGTATGAGCCACCCCTTGTAGGTGTGCCAGGGTCATCCCCAAACCCTCTATGTTCCACCCTGGTTTCTTCGGGTAGCAAGGAAGCGAGCGACCGACCAGCCAAACAAACAACCGCATCCAACCAAAAGGCTGACCTCTGCTTCACAGGATATGCATGCATGCATGCGAGCGTGCCTGCGATCAGCAAAGGCACCACTTCGTGGTTGCCGAAGCGGGCCGCCGTCATCACAGCGTTGCCTCCCGAAAGATTTCGCGTTGCACCAGTTGGTAGGTGGCTTATCCCAGTATTCATTGGGCTTCATGCATCCCAACCGGACAGGATTTGTCCATCCACAGCAACTACCCACATTTGAAGGCGTTCATTGGTGAGTAAAAGGGCAAACGTAGTTGCCTACGGGGAGACATTGGGAGGGTTTTGGAAACGAAAGCCTTCCTCTTGAGGAAGCCGCTTCTTCACTTCCATCACTGGACAGATTGTAAGGTGGTCAGCATCGCGTTCTTAGCCCCCAAACAACTCCAGCAATTAAACTGCACCTCCCCACCCGTACACCGCACGGGCAATCCAAGTGCAGTGCATTATGATTGAACCCTTCTTGTACTTCTCCCATGAGGAATCTTGATCTTGGTGTTTTCCCAAAAGACGGGACAATCTGGGTGGCTTTCAACAGACCGAGCCTGAAACAAATCTTTCAGGGCTGAGAACTGCCAAGCTGCGCATGCGGCAACAATCTGACCCACGCAACGCACACAATGCACATTGCATGAAACATTATCTTCCACAAAGGGGAGTGTGTCTTCTTGGGAGGGTATCCTTTTTGGGGTGTTCAAAGAGAAAACAATGCAAACGCTGCCAGCTTGCGCATGACACACACAAACAAACAAACTAACTCCTGTTCCGAAAACCAGACATTTCCAGAGAAAAAGGACTTACTTATCTCTTTGCAGGTACGTCGAGAGTTATTTTCACTATCGAAGTCACTCACGTGTGGGTTAAAGGGGAACCACCCACCAGTTTCTGACTTTAACCAGAGTCAAAATAATGGCTCCAGAAAGAAATCTCTGGCATCACAGAAAGTGGCACACAGGTTGAAACACCATGCCGCTCGTTCAGCTGGCTCATGCAACCAGTCCCTTCTCCTCCCGTCTCAATATTGCGGAAAGAAAATCCGGAAAACCCCGAAGTACCCACATGACGTAGAACCATCATTCAAAAACAAATGCGTTACCTCATGGAGCTCGCAAGGAGGGGTGTAAGGGGCGGTAGTTGGGCATCCTTAAGTTGTTACCCCCCGCCTCCTACACTCCCCGCCCCTGAAGAACAGCATAATTCACAAAGGTTTGGTTTCCTTTGGGTTGCGCGTAAAGACTTAAAATGCCATCCTTTTCGTGGGATCAAAGCTCACTCTTCCCCCGAAATGCCCCCACGGCTATTTTTGTACGGTCATCGCTTGGATTGGCATATCCGTTAGATAGTGGCAACATGTGGCAACAATCAGTCTAACTGATTGTTGCTCACTGCAACGCACAAAACAACCCACGAAACGAAACACATATGCAGAACTTTGTGGGTTGGTCTTAGAACAACAACCACAAATCATATATATATTATATTAATAATTCAACCTGCTGCTTGTTGCGAATGTAAAACATCCTGTGTTTCTATGTTCAAAGTCGCAAGAACAATCAACTGTTATCACCCCCTGGCCGCCGAATGCTTTGGTTGCAAATAAGGTAAACCCAGTACACTCCGTTGAACGGAGAACCAATTGAAACCAAACAGCGGCCAAGACCAAAAAGATGGCATTGATCATACGTAGAGTTTACATCACCCGAACGTCTGTTTCGATCGTCCATGGTTTCGATTTGACGCCCAGGAAGTAGTCGGGCTTCTCCAGGAACGGGGTCGTCGTTGAAGAGCGCCCCCTACTTGGATGTTCGGGCAAGTTAGTAAGTGGTTAGTAATAAACCTAGCTTTTATTGTACTCATGAGTGAGTTGCATCTGTTGTAAGTAGGTTATGACCCAGGTTACTCACCACTGTCTATCGTGCCCGAACATCCAAGCAGGGAAGTGCTAGTTGTTTTGTGTTCCGAACTTAAAATGAAGGATTCCATCAATGGAACACCCATCTCAAAAGATTAAAACCAGGAGTTCATGACTGGCTCAACCCCTGGGGTACACCAGCAAAACAACAAATGGTTCTGTCTTCTCTGAGGGTACCTTTTCCTGTGGTTGTAAATAGTTCAAGTGTCCTCTGTATTTTTGGAGAATCAGCCTTCAAAGCTTCCCCTCACCGCTCGCTCCCCGCGAGCGGGGGAGAAAAAATTCGGCCGAGGCGCTGCCCAGACGATCCATGGGCAAATGCATGTCCGCGGAAAGGCTCAGCAGCAGCTTCACCGTGGGCCTCCGGGTGGAAATGCCCTTTGGTTGGGGCAAAACAAATGTAGATAAATAGATGATGGATGGACAGATAGATAAAGAGAGAGAGAGAGAGAGATAAGCTATGTAGTTGGATAGATAGAAAGGTAATTAGATGGGAATCACCTGTCTAGACGATGTAAAGCACTATTTGCGTGGGTGCCTTTCTGCAGAACACGACACCCTGAGCGTGCGGGTGTTCTGGAAAATAAGCATCTAAGCACGGAAGAATGTGCGGCTGCATCTGCCTTGCATTTGTGTAGGGAACAATTGTCAAACATGGTACAACTGGAGAAAACCAAAAACAAATACAAGCCCCATTGGGGAGTGGCTCCAGGATCTGGGACATGGGGCCTGTAATTTGGTTTGGCTTGCTTGGCTTTCGAGGTGTTTCACACTTTGCCGAAGATTGCCAAAAAAGAGCTCGAGAAAAGCCAAAGAAATTCAAACCCCTTTAATTGATTTTTTAAGGGCGCACCAAAAGGACAAGCATCATTTCTCGTGGCTCCCCTAAACTCCTAAACGCAAGACACATCAATTTGGGCCAAGCACCTCTTTCATCCAAGCCATATGGGTTGAAAAAACAACCCCGTGGACAACCCTTGTATCCGTATGCCCTAGTATCGGTCAGTATCGGTTTGTTCCTCTGCATCGGTTTGCAGTGCTTTGGCAGCTCTAGCTCGAAATTCGTGACTTTTCCGTACAAGTGCAGTATGCGAAGCACACCCTGCCAGCTCCCAGCTCCAGCTGGAAAGTCGCAACTTTTCAGTACAAGTGTAGTACACAAAGTACATTTTGGCAGCTCCAGCTGGAAAGTCGCAACTAATCAGTACTATGCGCAGTACACTTTGGCAGCTCCGGCTCGAAAGTCGCAGCTTTTCAGTGCAAGTATGTGTAGTATGGTGTAGTATACGAAGTACATTTTGGCAGCTCCACTGCGGAAGTCGCAACTTTTAAGTACAAATGTAGTACACAAAGTACATTTTGGCAGCTCCAGGGAAGGCTGCAGGGCAGCTGGTTGGATTCGGCATGGCGGCCAATGAGTTGGGTATCGGTTTGGGTATCGGTTTGGGCCCTGCAAATTTATGATGCTGCAATCTTGGTTTGCGACAACAACTTGGACCTGATGTGTGTCTTCATGGCTTCTGGGGGCATCGTTGTTTTTTTTCCCCCCTCTGTATCGGTTTACAATGGTTTTGGCCTGCGAAACAAGTTAAGGGACGACCCCTTACATAACAAAAAGGCGGGGAGTTGTTTTTTCAGCCCATATTGTTTGAGCGACCTCCTTTTTGGCCCTTTCCGGGGGTTTCCAACTCATCCTCGAACAAGCCTACGACCTGGACCCAAGTTGGATGATATCCAATTGCCGGGAGAGTCCAAATACACTGGTTCCTTAAAAGAGGGGGGATCTCGAGTTCCTAATCCCAACCAACTCACTTCCAACGTGGATTGGCAACAAACAAACTCAAATTGTATGTTGGCCACTAAAATGGTCTTTCCAACAACTATCACGTCCAAGAACTCAGGAAGTCAATAAAGTAAACCGAACAAGAACGTCTCAAAAGTCTATGTGCTTCGGCGTGCTTATAACCCCTTACCCTTGTGCGTACCCTTGGGAAAACGGATTGGAAAAGATCTGCTGACTGATTCATACCCTCCAGCAATGTGAACAATTCTGGGAGTCAGTGGAAAAGTCTGGGGATGACAAGCTGATTCCACCTTTGGCCCTTGACAAAAGGGTGCAGAACCCAGCACAAACAATCCCTTGTTTTTTTCATGGGGATGGAGTGGAATATGAGAATAACAATTCACTTATGGTCCAGAGTTGGGGCCCTCTATTGACCCATCATGGGGCTCTGGATGCTCATTTGTTGATTGTGGCCTGGCCAAAAGCATGCACAGCCAAAGGCACATGGGACATCCTGGATGCATGGATTAGCTGGAGCTTGGGGGCCTTGTCAAAAGGCACCCACCCTACCCAAGACCCTTGGGGAGGACCCTTGCCAAAAGGGCTTGGCATGGAGGAGTTGGCTGGCCAACCCTTGACAAAAGGGGGTCACAAGGCAATTGTGTGGTGTGTACAAGGTGACCATGAGTTTTTCAGCAACATCCTTCACCTGCCGCACTGGGCCAGCAAGGCCCCCTGCCATGAATGCGATGCAAGGAGGCCTGTTTACAAAAAGAAAAAATGCCTCAAGGGCAAATCAGTCAAGCTTCTACTTGAGCATGACCAAAAGTTTGTGCGTGTCACTACAGAGCAGGCCGTGGCACACCCAAGCTCAAGCCATCCCCTTTTCAGCATTGAGGGCCTTACCACAAACCATGTCAGGGGTGATGCCTACATATCATGTACTGTCATGGAGTTGGGTCCCATTTAACAGGAAGCATCCTGCACTATATATGCTTCTTTGATGGGGTTGGGAGGCAAAAATTGGCTGCCTCTCAAAGGCTGAACTTGGTCTTTAACAAGATTTGTGAAATCTACAAGAGGGACCACGTGAAGGTCAGAATGAACAACCTCCGGCTGTCCATGATATGTGACCCTGCATCTCCCCACAAGAAATTTGCATCCCTGGATTCCAAGGCTGCAGAATGTAAACACTTCTGCCCTTGCCTATTGGAAGTCTTGCAGGATGTTCTGGATGATGATCAAGAGGCACATCAACAAATGAAACAAAGCTTGAGTGCCTTTTGTCAAATTATCCAAGTCATGGACCAGGCTGCAACAATCCCATCAAAACAAGATTACGAAAAGCTTTGTGGCCTTGCCAAAAGGTTCTTCTCTGCATATGATGCACTCAACAAATGGGCCTTGACAAAAGGCCTAAAAATATTTCATGTGACATACAAATTTCACAGCTTCCTGCATCTCATCAAAAACAGCAAGTTTTTGAACCCAAAGGCACATTGGAACTTTCGCTCTGAAGATTATGTTGGAAGGATCAGTCGCTTGGGGCACTCTTGTGCCTTTGGAATCAAAACCTCAAAGCAAGATTACCTTAAAATACAGAGCCCTCTTGCATTTGCAACTGACCAGGCCAGGTTTTACCTGCCATGAAAATACCACTGATGAGCCTTGAGCCCACCACTCAACCCTTTGATGAAAAGGGTGAGAGGTTGCCCTGCAACCCCTTGCCACAAAGAAAAGTCTTTCTCCCTTGGCCAAAGGGGTTTGCAAGCAATTCCTTGCCAAAAAGGCAATAAGCTTCATGCACTTTCTCAGAGGGATTTGCAGGCTATTTGGGAAAAAAACCTTTCACCCTTTTGGCCAAAGGGATTTGCATGCGTACTCCTTGACAAAAGGAAAAACGTTTCACCCAGCAGCCTGCAAAAGCAGGGCTATGCATGGAAAAAAAGAAGTTTGCTTTTGATTTCCCAATTGATTTCTGTGTTCAATTTAAGGCTGTTTTTAATTGATTTTGCATCTGAAAATTTAATTGAAAATTGTATCTTGAAAATCAATATATTATATTGAAAAAAAGGCCTCTTCAATAGAGATAAAACCCTTTTGATTACAATCAATAGCCGATGCTCAGGGTACCACTTTGCTCTTCGCGGAGCGCAACGCTTGGCGCAAGATCCACGAGATGGTGCACCAAAAAACCAATCTCTCGGATGCCCTCAAGAGCATCAAGGGTGACTTCCTCTTCTGGCAACGGGAGGTCTATGAGCACCTCAACCGGGCGCCTCAGAAAGGCAAGAACAAAGGCAAGCCAAAGTGTGGCAGACTCAGTGGGAGAAGTCCTGGAAGGGGGGAAAAGGGACAGGTTCGTCGGGGCCTGCTCAGTCGAAGCCCAAGGGCAAGGGAGGAAAAGGCAAGACTCCCAACGGCTCCTCCGCGCCGGACCACTCACCTGGAAAGGGGTGGCGTACTGCAAGGATTACCACCTCCATGGTCGGTGCCAAGGATCTTGTGGACAGTCCCCGGTTCGGAAGAATGGTTGGGTGTGTGATGCCCCCCCGTCCAAGCACGTGCCACAGGCCACCAGTGCTGGACAGGCACACAGCAGATGCAGGGCAGGCGCCACTCAACGAGCCCTCCGGCCCCACAAGCCCAGCCAGGGCACTCCAAAAGGACGGAAGCCCCCACACAGACGAGTGGGAGTGGATCCAGCCAGGGCACTCCAGAAGGATGGAAGCATCCTTTTCCCCCGCCCCCGCCAAGGCATCCGGCAGGACACTCAGTGGAGCCCAACAGGAGTGACAAGGCCACGCAACGGCAGCCGCAAAGAGGACCACCCCCCAGAGAGGCACCAGAGCGTAAGCAGTCATCCCTCCGCAGAAGGAGGATTGGGCAGACTGGCTCCGTGGACGAGGCTCCTTGTCACAGGCAGCATCTATGGGCGCCAAGATTTGCATCCTTACGGCCTCTTGGGGAGAGAGACTTCAGGAGTCACTTTCGGTGGGAGAAGGGTCACACCCCTTCCCAGAGGATCTGCTGCGCAGCATTCGGGAGATCCTTGCTGCGGGGAAAGGTGGGCAGGCGGAGGGCCAGCCGTTCCACCTGGACGTCCTGCACAGCCTGGCAGCTGACATTGAGGACCCGGACTTCCAATTTCCCTGGAGCTTTGCAGAGGGGTCCCCTTGGGGGTCACAGACCCACCACTGGTGTCTCCGGGCATCTGGCCGCTCAAGAGAGGACCCAGAGTTTCAGGAGCTTCCAAACCCTTCGGGCCGAGGGAACTACCCCTCCACGGACCACTTCCAAGAGCTCATCCGAAGCTGCGATTGTAGCCCTGGAGATCTGTGCCCAGGTCCCCTAGCCGGCATCGATGAGGGAGACAAGGTCCGCACCAATGACATTATCCGGAACCAGACGGTGGAGCGCACAACGGCCCCCACAGTGTTGGATGAATTCCAAGCTCTCCATTGGCGGCAGCAGAAGAGGGGCCCCCATCCCAGGGTGCCTCCGGCCCCGTTCCCTCAAGTGGACTGGAACTTCGTGTTTGTGGATGACTTCCTATGGCTGCTACGCATCAAAGGGGCCGTAAACTTGGCGGCGGCAGTGCTGGCTACGCTGTTGGCACTTGGCACACCGCTAAGTTGGAAGAAGACGCACCTGGCGGAGGTCAACACGTGGTTGGGCTTTGTGGTCCATCCCAACCTCCCACAGGTTCTCATGGCAGCCAGATGCACGCAAAGGAGATCGAGAAGGCCTTGGGTCGCATCCAGTGGGCGACTTCGGGCTAAGTCCATGCTCCAACCGCTCTGGGCGTGGAAGATGGCTACCACCACGGTGGGGAAACCACCCAAGGTGGTGAGGATGCTGGCCTTCATGCTGCGCCTCCTCTTCAACACGCTCTTCGTTCAGTACTCCCCATATCTGCCAAAGTCGTCCTGGTGGGGGTGCAGTGATGCGAGCGCCTCAGACCAAGGACTGGCATTTGTGGGGGGATGCCAGAGGGAACCGGGCAAGTCAGCGGTCTTCTGGTTCCACGAGCAGATCGGCATTCAAGGATGGGGATCCCAAGCGGCGAATTGCGGCACTGTAGAAGCCCTACACCGCGGCTATCCTGATGGAGCTGGTACTCCTGCTACACAGGCACGGATGCTCTCTGGCAGTCAATCATGTGCCTCGTGAATTCAATATGTGGGCGGACAAACTAACCCACCCTGATTTTGCAGGATTTGATCAGTCGCACAGAGTTCCGAAACCGGAACTGTGTGAAGATTTTACCTTTCTTCCGCGTCTCCTAAATGGAGATACGTTTGACCTCAGCGCGGACCCACCCAAGCTCCCGTGACCGGAGCCGGTGGGTGACTCACTTCCCTTAGGTGGCAGAGTGCCTGAGGCCTGGGTGCCTCCGGCCCCGGCCGAAGGGGGGCGCAATCAGTCTGCACACCGGTTATTTTCCTGTCCAGGATTTTTGAAGAGGGTGGCACGGAGGACCACCCAACCTGGAACTCATGAAAGGGAAGATGAGTCCCTGGCACCAACCGAATGCTTGGATAAAAGTGTTGTGCCGTTTGGTCAGCTTGCATACACTTTACTTGGTTTTCTGGAGCTTGTGGTGAGAGCGGTCTGACCGGATTGGCGTTTCGTTTTGGTCTCTAGTTTCTGGATTTGTTGTCGTGATGTCCTAGGCAGGTTTAATGGGAAACCACAATGTTGTGTTGAAATGTGGTTTGTGTGTGTGCTTGTGTCAACAGCGGTTTGAACCCAACAAATCGCGGTTTCCTTTTCGTTTGGCTTCTCGGGGATCTAAGGGCAGTACAAACCTCTTATTACCAATTCCTGCAGCCAAACACTTCTTCAAAAACAAATGGGTAGTGCTCATGTAGCTGGGAGAACATCAAATGTGGCAGCAGCACACCTGCCTTCTCTTCAGGGTCTGTATTTGGCTTGTTCTCTTTGATTGGCACACTTGCCTGCAAAGGCTGGCATATCTTTATTTGCTTACAAAACATTGCCATCACATCTCTGTGGCAGTTTCCTTTCTGTCCAAAATTGCCAGGTGAGCAATTTCAGTAATTTGGGTAGCAGATAAAAAGCCTTGAGACCAAAGTTCTAACAGCCTGGTGCACAAAGAGCTAGGTGTTGTAGTGTCCTTTTGGCAAGGGCTTGGGGGCACACTGCTCCATTTCCTTTTTCCAACCCCTCAATCGGTTGATGCCTTTGGGGTTGTCATCCATTACCCTTTTTGCAAGGGGCTTCCCTTTTTGTCAAAGGGGCTGCTGAGTCAAACCTGTACATTGTTTTCTGGAGCCAAATGGCAATCAAAGCAGACCCTCTAAAGCCATGCAAGCTAAACCTTGCCCCCCCTGTCAACCTGACATGGCCTGACAAAGGTTTCATGTCAACACCACATACATGTTTGTTTGCTTGGGGGTGGTGACAAGCTTGTTTGGCAACCACATGCCTTTACAGTATTTATATGTCATATTGCTGAAGCCCTTGGAAAAAGGGTGTGCCCCTGCTGCCAAAGGTGAAGGCCTATGTTCAAGATTTTCTTGACAAAACCATGCTTTGTAATAGTGCAAATTGTTTTCACTGGCTGTGCCCTTGAAAAAAGGAGCTCCCTGTGTGACACATTAAAGTGTTTGGGTTTGTGGGATAGAAGGGCACCCCCCCCCCTCCACTGCGGTCTTTTCCATGCCAATGCCCAGTCTGGTGCCAGCCCCTTTCTCCAAGGGAAAAAACTGTACATATACTATATCCTTTTTACAAGGATGTTCCCAGCCCCTTTCTTGAAAGGGTGGATGACTGCACATTTGCTATTTCCTTTTTACAAGGATGTTGCCAGCCCCTTTTTGCAAGGGAGATTTGCAACTCTGCATGCAACGCCATACCCTTTTGGCAAGAGTACATTCAGCTTTTGGATGCCCTGCTTGCTCCCTTGTTGGCCAATTGGATCATTTCTTTGACCTCTGCTTTGGCAAGCTTGATGTCGCTGGCAGTGTCCAGCAACATCTGTTTCAGTGCACTGATGCCCATGGCTGCCTCTTTTTTCAAGAGGACCTGCTTCAACTTGGCAATTCTTTTCCCCAAGCTAACCATGCTTGCTTGGTACTCAGCCTTTGTGGTTTTTGTCACTCTTTTTTTCCCCTCAGCCTTGTGCAGGGCGCTTTCCATGTCAGACAACACAGAGTTGGCTTGGTCCCTTGCTTTTTTTAGCCTTGCTAATGCACTCTTGCCATTGCTCTGGCTCGGTTTTCTCCTCTGGGGATGGCGGGTTTGGGTTTTCAGGGATCCCATCTTTCAAAGGCAGTGGTTTTGGCCCTTTGCCCTTGCCTTTCCCTTTGCCAGATCCTTTTGCCAAGGATTTGCCTTTGGAACCCCAGCTTTCCACATCCACAATGTGGCTTTGGAGGTCCCTGCTGAACCCCTGCCCCCATTGGCTTTCAACTTCTTGGTTGCTTTGGAACTCCTGGCCATGGGACCATTCCTTGCTAGCTTTTGCTTTCAGGTGCACGGTTATATCGCCTTGGTCGAAGTACTCATAGTAGCCTGGGGTCCATGGGTCACTACGCCACTTGATACGTCCTGATTGTATGTGGGCTTGCAGTTCATGATCATCAAACCTCTGCAGGATTGTCTTCTCAGATTCCCATTTTTCCCTTTTGTCAAGGGATTTGCTCTGTTGCAGGGACTCCTTCATGTTCATAAACTTTGCCACATTCTCCTGCAGCAGCCACATGGCAACACTGTGTCCTTTTTCCCTTTTGGCAAGGGAGTCAAAGGCTTCCTTCTCTTCTGGGTTGTGTTTCAGCCATGTCTGGAATTTGCTCCATGCTTTGCTGCTTTCCTGAGGGGTCATCATCTCTTTCAGGCTCTTTGCCCCTTCTACTGCACTCTCTGCTGTTTCAGCAACCTTCTCCATTTTCTCTTGCATGGACAACTTTCCTAGCTTAGCCAGGTTCTTTGCTTTCAGCTTGCTCCCTTTTGTCAAGGGTTTTGTTGTATGATCACTCCCATCCTTGCTTGCAGAGCCCGCTCCTTTTGACAAGGAAGTGTTGGAACTTGGTTTCCCTTTTAGCAAGGGCTTCTTCACCTTCTTTTTGGCTTTTGGTGCCATTGCTCAGGGAATTCTACATCATGAGCCAAAAAATGCTGTTGGTGATCCAAACATCTGATGAAATCTGATGAAATCTGATGAAATCTGATGAAATCTGATGAAATCTGATGAAATCATAGGTTTCATCAGATTTCATCAGATTTCATCAGATTTCATCAGATTTCATCAGATTTCATCAGATTTCATCAACCTGTGAGTGGGCTGGTTTGTCCAAACACAAGGGGCGTTTAATTTGCTTCCCCTTGAAATCAAAGGGGCAACCCAGCTCAGAACAGTTACAAACTGGATTGAGTGTTTGTGGAAATGTGCCTATGGACAATGAGGTCAGTTGGTTGCAGTTTTGTGCCTTTGGCAAAAAGGGCCTTTAGTTTGCTTCCCCCTTGAAATTAAAGGGGCAACCCAGCTCAGAAGACCAGTTACAAACTGGATTGATTGTTTGTGGAAATGTGCTGATTGACAATGATGCAAGTTGGTTGTGCCTTTTGGCAAAAAGGCAGGGGCCTTCAGTAACTGGTGCTGGGTGCCAATGACACAATAGTGGTTGCCCTTAGAATAGATGTTTGCTTGGATGAAATATTCAGTCCATGTGGCCACCGCTTGATGGTCATGTGTTGGAATGCTAATGGGTCTTCATGGGGTGCCATTCAAACAGAAACATTAATTGAACAAACAATTGCAAGAGCAATCTCATGATTTGTTTATCAGTGTTTTCCACCCTGCCCCCCATTGCTGCAGCTCTTTTTTTCTCTTGATGCAAAAGTCTCCTGACCCATTTTGGCCAGTTATGCCCTTTTCACAAGGGAGTGATGTCAGCCCACACAGCTCCTTTTAGCAAGGAGATGCTGCCAGCTTTTTCCTTTTGACAAGGATGCTTGGAAATGCTGCCATCCTGCCATTCTTTGGCAAGGATAGATTTTCCACTGCCAGCTTTGCCCTTTTGACAAGGGGGTTTGGCGTTGCTGCCGGCCTGCTGCCTCCTTTTGACAAGGAGATCAGTCAGCCATGGCCTGGTCGAGCAAGAAGGCAGCCACTGCACCACACAAGGTGGGGTGGGCTCTCTTGCCATTGAACACCCAGTGCCTCTTGGGAGAGACTGGGTATACAGACAAGCCTTTTGACAAGGCCTCTTGGCAGATATCATTGTTGTCATCAAAAATGTGGCCCACACTGTTTCTGATCATCCACTCAGCTTTGCCCTTGGCCCCTGTCCTTGAGGAAGTGAAGGCGACCTGGTCAAATTTGAAAGGCAGCTTGTCGAGCTTGGCTCCCAGTCGTGAGATTGCTGTTGCAACTGCCTGTTCAAACAATGTTGCTGTTCAATGCACCCCTTGAAGACCCATTGGCCACAAAAAAAACATAACCAACAACCTTTTGGTGGAGGAAGGGTCATTTCATTTTTTGAACTTATTTTAATTCAGTAAATATCCAAGCATTGGCTTGTGTGTGTTTTTGAGTGAATGCTTTTCTTCTCCTCATAACATGCTTCCCACATACACCACACACACAAGCACACACACACAAGCACACACACACACACACACCATGTGGAGCCATCACCACTTTCAACTGCAGCCGTTTCAAGCTCAAAGATCTTTTGTTTTTGCACCCCCTTGACCAAAGGGCTCTGCAATTCCCTTGCAAAAAGGGCCTGCCCTGGAAAAGGAACAGCCCTTGAAAAAAGGGACAGCCCTTGAGAAAAGGGATGGCCAATTGGGACAATTGGAATGGCTGGTGGGGCAACACAAACAACAAGGGCCAACCCCAGGGCACAGGCACAGTCAGCCAAGCAAGGAGGCAGAGGATGAGGGAGAAGGCTTTGGCCAGAGAAGCTGCAGAGCAGGCTTCTCTGGCACCTGCCCAGCCCAAATGGCCCCAGCGAAAGGGAAATTGCCAAGCACATGCCCCGCAAAAACCCTGAGCTCCACCACAAGGAGGAGGAGCCTGCCCTTGCCACAAAGGCCCTGCAGGCTGCCCCTTGCCAAAAGGGCCCTGAGCACATCCAGCAGGCGAAGGCTGCCCCTTGCCAAAAGGGCCCTGAGCACCACCAGCAGGAGGCTGCCCCTTGCCAAAAGGGGCCTGAGCACCACCAGCAGAAGGAGGCTGCCCCTTGCCAAAAGGACCCTGAGCTTCACCAGCAAAAGGAGGCTAAAGGAGGTTGGGCTTCACCAGCAAAAGGAGGCTACCCCTTGCTAAAAGGAGGTTGGCTTCACCAGCAGGCCAGGGGTGAAACCGGAGGCTGATTGCAGCCCCTCCAGTGAGTGCAACCCTCCTGATGTAAAGAAGGCCAAGGTGGCAAGCCCTGCAGCAGCCTTGCCAGAGCCCACAACCCCCTTGCCAAAAGGGGCCTGGGTTTTGAAACAGAATCCCAACACAAGAGAGGCCATTGACTGGCACCACACTCTTGAAGTTGATGAGGTGGTCACAGGAGCAAACCTCAGGTCCCTTGAGGCCCTGAGGAGCCAAGGCTACCAAGTGTTTCTCTTGTCCTTCTGTGGACATGTGAGAAAGCTGGAAGTGCATTCCCTTGATTTCCCCCAGCCCCCCTAGCTGCAGTTTTTCCCATTGAATCAAAATCTGTCCTGACCAATTTTGGCCAAGGAATCTGCCACCACAAAGGGGATTGTTGCAGAGTATGCCCTTTTCACAAGGGATTGGTTGCGGCAAGCACACGCAGCTCCTTTCAGCAAGGAGATGCAACTTTGCCCTTTTGGCAAGGGGATGAAAGCTAGCACCCAGCCCCTTTGGGCAAGGGTTCTTCTATTCACTGTGGAATCCCCCTTGTAAACAGCAGCTGGCAAACCCTTTGTTCAAGGGCCAAGGCTTCACCCTTTGGGCAAGGGTTTTTCCACTTTTGTGCATCATGTGCACAACTCCTCCCTGAGCTGGATGGCCTCATTTTTTGTGAGGTGGTTTTCTCTAAGCTTGGCAAGAATTGCATCAATGTGTGCACTGTAGGAGGCTGATCTTTTCATTGAGATCTCCACAATCAACCCGGTTTTCTCCCCCGGCTCTTGGCTTCCAGTGATGTAAGCTCTCTCTGGGTTCTTGGCATTCACTTTGCTCAATTTCAGCCAAGGTTTTCTTGCAACTGGGTGTGTAGAGTTGTGCTTTTCTGGTGTTGCTTCAGCCCTTTTGACAAGGGCAGCTGGCTTCTTCATAACAATACACAGCTGTTCTTTCAAGCTAGCCGTTGGCTCTGGCGTTTTTTGGCCCAGCCTTCTCCTCATGAAGCTTGGCTTGCAGAGGGCACCTTTTGGCAAGGAAGGCATTGCCTGGCTGTGGCTTGAACTAGCTTCCTCACTGGGGAGTGAATCTCCCTTCTCAGGGCAAGCCCCCTTTAGACAAGAGGCTTGTGGTTGGCTGAGCTTTGAGTGGGCTGGTAAAGCAAGTTGGGAAGCCTTGGCTGTCTAGGGAAACATCACTCACCAGTGGCTTGAGTTTTCTTTGTTTGTTCTCCATTTCCTCAAGGGGTGGCCCTTCCCTTTTTCCAAGGGGTGGCTCCTCCCTTTTTTCAAGGGGCTTTGCAGGCAGAACTGGTTGGTCATTGCTTTTCTTCTCAATCATGTTGACAACCTCCTGCAACTTGAGGTACTCAACACTGGTCAACTTAGAAGCACAGAGTCTCATGCTTTCTGGAGATTTGAGCCGCCGAAAACGGGCCAAAATAACATTCAGCCTTTCCAGCTTGAGGCCAACCCAAACTTGCCCATTGAATTTGGAATTGTTGATCGATGGGTCTGATTGATACACAGTATAGATTGCACCTCTCAAGTTTCCCTGGTGGATTTCACAGGTGGGCTCTGCTTCCACAATGCATTTTACCAGTTCCAGCACATGCATCAAGCCTGCAGGGGGGCAGGCCTGTGACCTAGAGATTGTTTCATAAACCCCCAGGCTTGCCAGAAGGTGGGAATGGCAC